GGGAAAGAGGAAAAGGGGAAAGAGAGAGGAACGTCAGGGTGGGTTTGTAGCAGCAGCCGAGAGCCGGTCGATACGACCACCACTACAAACGTGTCGCAGGACACGACGCACAACCAACCTGCCGGTGGCTGGTGCTGCGTGTGCAACGATACGCGCGACCCTTCGTTCTTCCTCCCTCTTTTCCTCTTTCGCTGCCTCCTCTCCTCCGCCCCCATCCCCTAGCCAGGGCTTTCTCACCCTTCTCGTATGGGACGAGAGAACGGGAGCTGCCGAGAAGCAAGGTGTTTTAGCACGGTCTCGAGGATCCGCCATTTTGAGAGGGAGTCGTTTCCCTCATCCCTCCTTGAAACGTTGACTTTTCACGGTAAAATCTTTGCTAGGGCTCTCACGCGCGTTTCGATACACCGACGAGTGATTCTGTCGAGTCGCGGACGGATTGCCTTGACCGAGACGATTAGGATACCTCTTCCTCCTCCTCTTACTCCTCCTCCTCCATCCTTTTTCCCGTATTCCTTTCATTGATGCGACGCGTTGACTTCGTTCTACCGGTAATTGGACTTTGACGAGCAAAGTGCACAACCGCGTAGCTTTTTATCGTTATTCCTTTCTCATGCAAATACCACCGAATCTCCATTGATCTACGTTTTACTTTGTTTTTCTGGTTACAGTTGTTCTCTTGGACACGACACAAGAGGAGAAGCTCGAGTGGACAAAGTATCCGTTCGGCGCGGAAGCTAACACCCCAGGGGTAAGTTTTGTCATTAACGGGACGCAATCTCGTTTAACGGGTGTGCCGTTGAGCAACCTCCGCAAGAGGATTGCTTCCACGAACCACCGAAGGAAAAAAATACTAAAATTTTACGCGAGATCGTCGATCGCGTCGGAATGTTACACGAAGCGGCGGTGGTCTTTCTCTCCGAAGCGGAGTTAAGAGACGAGCAACGCGAGAAAGGTGAAAAAATTCCAAGAGTAGCCGACACCTTGCGTCCGAGGGAAAAATCCCTGGGTCTGCATGGTGTCCGATGGGGACAAAATGGACACGGTGGAGCAGGAACAGCGGGTTCCGGGGGTACCAGAAGCACTTTATGGTCTCGGTGCGCGCGGCATACGTGGGCTCCCGCTGGCCGGTGCGCTCTCTCGGCGCCATGTTTGTTTTTCAGTTGTTAAGCGCGCAGCGGGCCGCCAGACAGGTTTAAATCAGCCACTACCTCCTCCTCCTCCTCCACCACCACCACCGACGACCAGAGCCCACCACCTCTTGCTCTCTCACTTTTGGTCTCGTTCTCTCTTCGTTCCACGCTCCTCTGCGCTCTCTCTTTTCATCTTCCACTCCGTCTTGCTCTCTCGCCCCTGTCGAACCGTTCGCCTCTCTCTCTCTCTCTGCGCTCGTCTCGCGCGGGACGTACACCGCCGGACCAAGAGTCAGTCCGCTGGGTAACAAATTGCTTTTTGTTTGAACGGACAAATTAGAGAGACGGCCGCCGGATAGGGGGGAGAGGAACGAAGCGTGCTCGAGAGAGAGAGGATGCGTTTATTTAAACGTCGTAGGACGTAGAGTTTCCTACGTGCATGTGTAATACGTTCGCGTACACGAGCCTCGTTGAAAATTTCACTCCTCCGGCTAGGCTACGTGGGTGTCACCTCGGTTAAATATCCCGGTTTCGTCACGATGCACCGTGATAAACCGCTTTCAGTCACGAGAGCGCCGAGATATTCCTCCTGATTTTTCCTCCATTTGCCGTTCACATTTTCCGATCCCGCCACCGCGATCATCGATAACTGATAACGTCTATCGCGCTTGTACCGCCTCGTAAGAATCCCACGGTAATTAATTCGCGTCGATCGTCGTTTGGTACCCGTGGTGACGAAGGTATGAACGAATTATTGGTCGGTCAACCTCGTTATTTCGCGTCCAATTAAAAAAAAAAAGAAGAAAAAAACAGAGAGAGAAGAAGAGAAAAAAGAAAGAAAGAGAAAAAGAACGGTGAAATTGGAACGGCGAACTGAAAGGATATCGGTCGTGGTTCTCGTCTACTTTTTTCCCTTGGCTTTCAGCGTCGATCGTTAGTGCCGTGCCGCTAATCGAGCAGCGCACCGCTCCGTTTGAAAAGGTTCTTTGAGTTTGCTGTTGATTTTTCTAGCTGTTAAACGTCCTCCGCTTCCCTTCGGGAACGGGATCAGGGGAACTCGTGCACGGAAGCTCGAATTTTTCCCTGGAACCAGCCGAAAAAAGGGGGCCTCGTGCTCATCGTCGAGTACTCGAGTTCACTTCACACCTCTTTCCCATCTATATCCATAGAACGCCGCTCGAGAAACGGAAGTGGAACGTCCAAATATGTGCTTCGTACGCTTTTCCACGATCTCAAGGACCTCCTTAAAGTTTACACCTCGTTCTGGAAACTGACCAAGTTCACACAGACGCGCCGTCTCTTATTTTCATACGTACCAGCTGAAAACACGGGCTGTTCGAGCGCCGGGGAAAAAGTTTATCGGCGATAAAGAGAAGCGAAACGGCTACCCCTGAAATTCCTCGTGGTCTTAGCTCATCGCGATCAACTCGAATATCTTAGGTCGAACGTCATCAGGATCGGAGACTCAAAGTCTCAAAGCGGACTAACGTAAATAATTATCTGGCAAGCCTCGAACGATTCCCCGGTGGGATTCGTTTGAATATTTACCAAGTCGTTTGGATAGCGCTTAATCGAAACGTGTTATATTACTCACGATTATCGTTCAACTTTCCTGTCGGCGATTACACGGGAAACGAGAACACGCGACGCTTCTAGGAACGGCTCTCCTTTCAGATTCCACGGATCCTTGGTTGATGAACGTCGATCGAGTAAAAGAAGAAGGCACGACAGGTTTATCCGAACGAGATGACGAGACACGTCATTCTTCTTTCTCGTGACCTGGAATGAAATAATCTTCACGTGTCTGTGTTCCGTAACGCGGAAAATTTTCTTCCTTACGACGAACACTTTGCTTTTCTACGATTTTCGTGTAAAAGTCCCGTGGAAGGACTCGGAGGGAATCCTCTTAGAGCGGTCCAGCTTCTTGATCCGCCTCTAACTGATGGTTTTCCGAGGGAGTCGCGTGAACGGAATGCGAGATAGATCGAGTGCTTTCCCTAAAAGAGGGTCCTAAGTCGGCCTAATCAGTTTTCTCGAACGAGGATTAACTTGGCCCTCTTCGAATTCGATCGATCGGCGGGTGGAACCATTGGAATCGTCTGGTTTTTCTTTCGAAAACTCGTCGCCTGTCCCGTGGAATCAGTCTGTTGGTCGGCTGAAAGTTTGTTGGGGTTGAGTAATAGGCAAGAAAGGGTTAATTAACCGAGGAAAAGGGGGATAGTGGAAGGGGGCGGCGTGTTTACTGGTGTCCTTACGCCGTTCTAATCACTTTGCTTTCCGGAATCGGAGTCCAAAGTCCCCGAGTAATAAGTACGGCCAGCGCGAGGGTTATTAATATACAGGACCGTAGGGCGAACAGCGTCAGGACAAACAAGCCAAACAGAATTAGCTCGGAGTATTTGAACAACCTGATGGGGAGAGAGAGAGCGAGAGAGAGAAAGAGAAGGGTTCACGTGCGTGGCGAAGCGAGACGTCGCTTTGATGGCGTTGCTGGTGAGCCTCGAAACTCGTATAAAGGGATCCCGAAGAATACTCTCTCTCTCTTTCTCTCTCATCGCGTACTATACCACTAATCTCGCCTGCAGGACCTCGCAAAGACTCGCTCGCCCACCAACCCTTCTCGTCTCTCTTTCTCTCGTTTTAGGGAGATATCGAGAAGACTTTAAACAAAACAGAAGGAAAAAGGAAGAGGGGGAAAAACAGGCGCGCTTGAATTAATTGAGAATGCTCGAGTTTCCAGTCACTCGATCAACAGACAGACGGACTATCGCGTGCTCCTCGACCCCTCGAGTTTACCTCATTTCCATCTTCGGCGTCCCGTCGAAGGGGACGTATCGCTGTGTTATTAACGGTACCTTCACGTAACTCGACTTCTATCTGACGCGCATACCTTCGCTCAATTCGACGTGCACGCGGCGATCTGCTTGTAATCTTTTCTTTTCTCTGTGTTTTTTCTCTTCTTCTTCTTCTTCTTCTTCTTGTCAAAGTTGGAGGACCAGTCACTTCTTCTTCTACGGTTAGATCTCCGATCTTTTTCCTTGGAAAAATTTATCGTCGGTTTAGCGACCATACTCGTTTCCCCGGGCTGTGTCGTGTAATCCTCGCGCGTAGGAGAAGAGACCCGGAGAACGTTTAGAAAGTCCAATAAACAATGACGGGAGAATTTCGGGAAACACAACTCGTACGTTTCGTGTACTTTATGCCTGGATGCCTCGTTAGATGTAAATTATCGATGGTATGCACACGGCGTGTACACCGATCGAGGACAGCCAATCTAGAGGAACATGGAGGAAACTCCAGAATAGCAGTCACAAAAGAGGTGTACGCGACGCGATTTATTTCCACGGAGATAAAGTTTCGATAGAACTCCGAGGGTCGAGAGGTGGACGCGATCGAGGCGCCTCGTTCGAATATTTAAATCATTTCCCGGCTACGGGGGGAACGCCGAGAAGGATATTCAAATGTACGGCCAGGCCGGAGGTACATTTTCGTTCGAGTTTCGGTTTCGTTTGACTTTCGAAGAGGCTTCCTCGACAACGAACGAACGAACGAACGAACGGCGAGAGCTAGCCGGTGAACTAACGGTACTCACCGTCGCGATAACTGGTCACTTTGGTAGAGAGTGTAAAAAAAAAAAGGAATAAAATAAAACGAAGGAAAAAAGTAAAAAAGCATCGGAGAAATTTGGCTTCCGAAAGAGGATCCTCTGTATCGCCGGTTGATCGTCCACGGAGGACAGAGAGAGAGGTGAGAGGCAGCAACCAAGTTCATCTTCGAGCCGATGAAACGTGGCGATCGTGTCTGTAGTTCTGGCGAAAAGGTCTACTCCACTCGCACGTGGCACTCGAGCTTCTATCTGACCGTTTCATCTCGCGTTTCCTTCATCTTCATCCTACTCGTCCAGCTCTGTTCATCTCGCGTTGCAACGACTCGTCGTCCTCTCTATCTCGCTCTTATTCTCGTACAGCCTATCTTGCCTCCTCTTTCGATACTCCGTCTCTGTCTGATCTTCGCCCTCGCCGCCCTCTCTTCGCTTCTCAGACTCTTCTCCGTTGGCTCATCGTCGGTTCTTCTCTCTGGGTTGGTTGGTCTTTTTAACCGCGTCCGCGGGCGTATCTGCATCTAAATGCGCGCTCCTCGGATGCGAAATTCTGAGGACGTCACGTGGTGATATGTGACTCGGGTAACCGCGTCTTCGGGGGCTCTCGCTCGTCAAGGATCGCCTTCCCGGAATGCGAGGCGATGCGACGCGCGAGAAAACACTTGGCTACGACGACGTGCGCTCGCCCTTCTCGTCCTCCACTTTGCCTGTCCGCGTACATTCGCGTTTTGCATACCGGTAGCGACACTCGTTCGGCAGGCTTTCTCGCAAATTTCCAAACGAATGACTCACCTCGACGTCGCTCCTCCGAAATATTCCCCGTTTTTACGCTCCGGAATGGAAATAAAACGCTCGTTAGCTCTCTTCTTCTTCTTCTTCTTCTTCTTCTTCTTCTTCAACGTTGGAATTTTTCTCGAGTCTCTCCTAGCGAAACGCCTCGATTTACGACGATTTACCTTGGGTAAATTTTTATCGATGTCGTTGCTCACTCCTTCCGTCACATTTTTTAACAGCCTC